TCATCCAGAAACCAAGCGAAGAGACCAGGCTCGATTGGGCTTGGCCGAGGGGTGGTGCTGCGTTGAAGCATATAGGAGCCCCTCGACGAACTCGTGCTCAAACTACAAGCTACCACGGATCCTCTGGCGTGCGAATGACTCACGAAGAACCTCAACTCAATCACATTTCTAAAGAAGCTGGATTTGGATTCTCCCGCGCGTCGTACCAGCAACTGGATACTTGGTTGATAGATACTTCCTTGGGTTGACTCGGACTCTGGTTCTCCACGATAATCAATTTCAACTCGACTCGAAAACGGTGCCAAAGCCAGAGAAAAGCGCAGGAAACCGCCGCGGCAACTTTTCATCCACGTAAATGCATTCACGCTCGTACATTCGAAAAGAAGCAGAAAAAGGCGACTCGCGAGTAGTGGTGTCGTCGGAGTCGACCCCGAAGGTGGTGCGCTTCAACACGGACTTTGGCGCATACCTTCACCGTCAGCAGCACCTGTGGATATCAAACAACTCACTAGTATCGCAATACGCGCGGTTCTTTCGCCACCCAACCCGTTCACCGATCTCAGTCCCTACTACCTCAAGGCTCAAGCTGTGACTATCAACCTCACCTTGTCCTTCAAAGATGTTGGCTGCCATACAGAAGCCCGCTGGTCCAGTCAAAAGACCTGAGACTCGAAAAAAAGAGCTAATCACTATGTTTAAGATACCGTCGGGAGTCGAACCCGAGCTGGTGCAGTACTACAGATGAAGCAGTCGAAGAACAGTTGTGCACCTTTGACCGTCAACGGGACCGACAACGCTGCAGGGAAGGACTCCAGCTAGTAGGTGACGGCTTCGATTTTTTGCTAAACTTGAGCGCTGCTTGGGTCAAGTTCAATTTCAAACTCCACACGGCCGAAGCTCCCACAGTTCAACCGATCGCGTGGTTGAGACACTTGAATGCTGAGAAAGTCTTTGAGAAGGCACTTCTTCTGGCGAACGTGAACGCAAGAAGAAGAAAAAAGCATACTGCCGTCAACCATGATACAGTCGGGAGTCAAACCCGAGGTGATGCAAGACCGAAAGGATCGTTGTACATTGATTTCAGTATAGCTTGACCGTTAACGGCACCGCCGATACTCATAAACGCAACTAGCGGGGTATGAGATGGACCTCACGATGACCAAGTTCTACTGATAACTACTTCTGCTCCATTTCTTGGTCAAGTTTTGGACCTCGGCGCGGCGGAAGCTCCCACGGTTGAATTCAACTTCATGAAACCAAAGAGGCTGAAATCCGGGAATAATGCCGTTGGGAGTTGAACCAGAGCTGGTGCAGTACTCATCCGGGAGACGCTAAATTAATTTCAGTGCACCTTGACCAGCAACCGCCCGACGATAGATCAACTTGTGGAGTTATGAGATAGACCTGACGACGACTGTTCTACTCCTCCGACTTCTGGGAACCACTTGCTTACCCCATCTTGGTCGAATTTAGGACCTCCGCGCGGCGAAAGCTCCCACGGTTGCACTCCAGATCGCGACGTCGGACGAAGGTCGAAAACTTCTTCAGTGTACATTTCTTGAAAAAGCGAACACGCGGCGATGTATGATGCCGTCGGGAGTCGAACCCGAGATGGTGCAGTACTCGCGAGCAGGGGTACATTAATTACAGGGCACTTTGACCTTCAACGGCACCGACGATACTCAGGGAGGTATGGACCTGACAATGACCTTCTGACTGAGAAATGCATATTCGCCGTCCCATATATTGGTCGATTTTGGAACTCGGCGCGGCGGAAGCTCCCACGGTTCAAATTGAGATCGTGACGAAGGTTCTGTTCGACGTGAACGCAATAAAGGAAAAATCTAATGGTGCCGTCGGGAGTCTAGTGCGGTCCTGGATCAGAACATCGTGAACTCGTGCACCTTGACCGTCAACGGCACCGACGATGAAGCCTCAGGCAGCTACTAGTATGGGGTGAGCAATGCGACCTTGGTCTGAGATGATTGATTATAGCAGATCTTGAGGGGTGGAACATCACGTTGGAGGCTCCCCCGCCTCAACCGAGATCGCGTGGTTAGTTGCGAATGAAACTCTCTTCATTCAAAAGTAACCCACATATTCCGTTGAACGGAGAAGAAGGACCAAAAACGACGCCCTTCCAATGCATGATGCCATTGGGAATCGAACCCAGATTCTGTCCGAAATATCTACCTCCACAGCGTGGCACCTGTCTGTCCCACGAACGTAGGCACTCGTTCTAAACTTGAATCAGGTATGTACTGCAATTTCTGTGAAGTATCCTGCGCGCCTAGATAAGAAGAGTCGTACTTGCGGATGCGGCCGCTGGTATGTCTGTGGTGGGTCGGACGCCGCCCGTCGCCCGGGACCCGCGTAAGTTCAACCAAGCCTCCTGCGCCGCAAGAAATTTCTGATTGGCTACGGCCGCGGTTCTACTGTTTTTGGCGCGAAGGCTCGGCGGTAGCGGCGTGTTCCAAAGTCGTGTGCGGAGTTATGTTGAACTTTTGAAGATGTGCAGGTCAAAGGGAAGTTGTCGGCGTGTGCGTGCTTTTTGCGTGTCGGCCGCGGCGCCAATAGGGATTCGGAAGGACCTCGGTGCGTGATCAAACTTTGTTGAACCTTTCGAAAATGGGTTTCGACAGCGCGTAGGGTGCGGCCACACCATTATCGGACCTAAAATTCCTGGTTGAAGTTGAACCCGGCGGAATAGGTTGAACATGATTTGCCATCATGGGAAAGAATTCGTATGTATTCAGACTAGTGTGAATTAGTCGGGTGATATCGGGGTGCACAGAACGTGGCCAGCAGTCACTTAAATCAGCTTCGAATGAATTTGTGCACGCTGCATTGGTTCGGCTTTGGGGTGAAATAGGCGGAATGCGGGGTAATGACGAAAGCGCCGATACGGTCCGTGCGGCCGTCCGTTGACCCAAATTCGATCACCTGCTACTCGTCTTCACTAGGACTGTCACCTTCAGTGCCCACTCCCTCCTTCCTCCCTCTCCACTCCACGCTGCGTGGCTCGATCCTGCTTTCAACAAGCGCCTCGTCGCAACCGCTCTCACTGCGCCCGCTCCGTTAGACCGGCAATATAGTCGTTCACACGACCCCGCATTAGACGTCCACCACCATGTCTGCTGCTATCCCACAGAAGAAACAGCCCTATCCGTTCTGGCTCGGCGGTGCGTCCCCCTGCGTCTCTGCAAGCGGATCTATCAGTAGTGCTAATGCGACGACGACTCGCGGACAGGGGTGGCCGCGACGATAGCGGCGTCGATTACACAGTACGTTGCGGCGTGGGATGCGTGCGATGGAGCGCTGACAACGACGCCCCCGACAGCCCGTTAGATCTGACCAAGGTCCGCCTGCAGGCGTCCGGCGACAAGCGCATGGTGGAGAGCATAAAGAAGACGTATAGAACTGCCGGTGCGTGCGCTGTCGTTCGTGCGTGGTGCCAACTGACGATGCGCTTGGAGGCGTGCGCGGGCTGTTCGACGGCATATCGGGGACGTGGATGCGCCAGATGTCCTACTCGATGTGCCGGTTCTGGGCGTACGACGAGAGTAAGAAGCTGCTCGGCGCGGGGAAGGACGCGCCGGCGTGGAAGCTGGCGCTCGCGGGTAGTATGGGTGCGTCCCTCGCTCGTTCTTCGGTCTTCTTCCTCCCAGGCATTGACTGACTGACGGTGGAATCAACCAGCTGGTGGTATCGCGGGGTTCGTCGGCAATCCCGGTGGTGAGTTCCATCTTATCTCCTCGGAACCATCCCCGTTGATTGTCGACTTGGCCAGAAATCGTGATGGTCCGCCTGCAGGGCGATTTTGCGAAGCCGCCAGAGAAGCGGTTCAACTACAAGCATTGCTTTGATGCGTTGTTTAGAGTGCGTTCCCCGCTCATTTTGGTTGATTAAGCAATCGAGCGGGGATTAATTGCGAGTTGGTTTTGCATAGATGGTTCGCGAAGAGGGCGCGTCCTCGCTCGCGCGCGGGGTGGGCCCGAACGTGTTTCGCGCGGTGCTGATGAACGCTAGTCAGCTCGCGTCGTGCGTACATCCCGTCCATCGCAGTAACCTTTCTTTAACGCCTTTCGCAGGTACGACTTCTTCAAGTCCGAGCTCCTGAAGACTGCGTATTTCGACGACAACATTATGTGCCATTTTACTGCGAGCTTCGCAGCCGTGCGTCCTTCCCTGTACTAATCCTTTACGGAAATTTAAAGCGCTGACGCGACGCAGGGAACGGTGGCGACGACGGTGTGCTCCCCCGCGGACGTGCTCAAGAGTCGGATCATGAACGCTTCGGGCCCGGGGTCGAATGTGCGTTTCCTTCCCTTGTCTTCCCTCTCCCTTCCCCCTTTTCATACTTAAATTCAACGAAACGCTAACGCACGCACGAACACGCACAGTCGACCCTCGCCGTGATCCGCACCTCGCTCAAGACCGAAGGCGCCATGTTCATGTTCAAGGGCTGGGTGCCCGCGTGGACAAGGCTGCAGCCGACGACCATCCTCATCTTCCTCACGCTGGAGCAGCTCAAGAATGGGGTGGATTGGTCGAGGGGGAGGGGGGTTACTTGGTTGTAGGGTGGCGTTCTGCGTTGCCTTCGAACGCGACGTTTTTGCGTGAGGGTGTAAATTTTCTGTTGTTGTACTACTGGCGAGAAGAGGCGAGGCGGAGCGCGCCGGAGTGTATGTAGGATAGAGACGCTGTCTGTTTTGTTTGTTGTATGTATGTATATTTCTTGTGTTGTAAATTTGAACCGTGTGGAGATTTTGGGTTCGCTTTAAATCGTCGGAATTACATACTGGAAAGTCTTCTGTATTCACTTAACGATTGCGGCTCCGTGTTTCGGCTGCTTCTCCTCAGGTGGAAGATGGACGGGAGAGCGATAGCTACACCGGATTGAACGCGGAAAGCCATCTCTCTCGTTGTGTACTCGGCGTACGGTGTATTAACGAAAAATTCTCCACGCCCTGGGCCTATCGCAGCAGCCTACCAACATGTCTTGACTAGTATATCGGTTTAGTACAGCCGCTTGTCAATTTGCGTCAATCGCGGCAGAGCTGGGTTCGACTCCCAGGTCGAGAGTTTTTTTGCTGCTTTTGCTCTTCTGGAGTTTCGCGCATACTGTTCTGTCATTTGTATGCCCTCAGTTCAGGAGAAATGCGCCGGAAAGAAAGGAAATCCACGTGTCTTGAATCCTTGACCTAAGTCAAGCTTGCATTCACAAGTGTAATCATTGTGGGCTGTCATAGGGGGAAGTCTAAACGGACCGGCAACCACTTTGGTTCACGCAGAATGAGTCAGAACAAAGCCAAAAACACACCTCAGTTTGCTTCATAATTTCCAGTTCCCACACCTGTAATCGGGCTCGAATCACCAAAGCTTCAAGTCGTGTAGGCTCGGAGTAATCCAGGATGACGAGGCTGTATTCCGTGGATGCTCTTGGTTTGAGCCCAAATAACCAAGGAGTGGTTGAGAGCTCCGAGGACTCAAATTGAAGACTTCCTTGTTGAGAATGCTTCTTTCGTGTTTTGTGGCTCAAAGGTGCTTTCCATTGGGGAAAGGTTCAAGGATGCGCCCTGTGCTTTGGTTTGCATCAAGCGGCCGAGATTCAGACAAAGTGGCAGATCCTCAGTCCAGGTCAGTTTCCGACTTTCCGCCAAAATGTGGCGTCCCGATCTGGAAAATATTTTCGACAGTTCGGCATCTAATCAGACTTGCCGAAGCTGAGCCGCAGAACTGTCACGGTCAGTAACACCGTCCCGTTCAGCGTCGGCGTGATGGACACACATTATTTTGCCATCTGGATGGCATGTAGTGGTAGGCAAGGTCTCCTCAAAGTAGTTGAGGTGATAAAATAATATTTATACGGGACCCCCCATGTTTTAAAGTGAAATTTAGTTGAACCAAACTTGAGTCATGCGGGGCGAGGGTACGGCATGTAATAGTGGGGAATGTGAGGATACTGGGGGGGGTAAGGAAATGGACTGGGACCTGGATAAGGATAAGGACCGGGGGTTGGATACGGATAAGGAGGTGTGTAGGATACGGGAAAGTGGGACGGTTGTGCATTGACAGTCGGAGGAGGGTCGGCAGTGTTCCTTTGGGTAAATTAGGGCATGATACTTGAGTAAAGGAACAACACATACCTCTTACGCTGTGTGTTTTTGGGAGCTTTACTTCCGCTACTTGCCCCTCCTCCATACGCGAGATCACCAGCTGGCTTCTTCTTTGTCTTGACACCCGGCATCATAGATTGCTGAGTTTGAGCCCACGAGGAGGATGTCTCATTCGGGTGAAGGCGTTTGGCGGAAGGAAGGACGCTGGAGCCATCATCCGTTTGAGTAAGTGTGTCATCCAGGGCGAGCTCAAGTGCATCCAAGGCCGGGAAACACAAGTCCTTGCAACGAGGGTGCCTGAGTCGAGCTGCCATACGCTCGAGGTTCTCCGCGGTAGAAATCAGCCGGCTCTTCGTCACGGAGATTGGGGTTACCATGGGACTTGATGGCGGCGTAAAAGGTGGATCGTCTCGGGTCGGTGGGAGGCTCGGGATGTCCAATATAGTGAAAATATCGGCGGTCTCTCGACGCCAGGCTCGTCAAAGTGATGTTGTACCGCACATATGTGTTTGCAGTAGGATATCAAGGGGCGAGATCAACCTCGTAGACTTTGCTGGGATCCGTTGCTGACCGCACAAGGTACTTCTGCTCCGAGAGGTACACAATGTTGTCCTTGCTACGCTTGCTTATTTCTTGGCGCTTGAGCACCTCAATGTCCGGCCCCTCGAACCCAAAGTCCTGTCGGCGCTGTTTCAGGGCGTAGTACGGGAGCACCTCCGTCATGAGCGTGTTGAGCAAGTGATCTAGGCGTCGATTCCGTTTCCCGTGCAGAAACTTTCTCTTGAGAACATGATGCCATCTGAATATGTGTTAGTTAGATAGACGGCAATAAAAGGCGGTCGACGTACGCCTCCACCAGCATGGTAGTATCAACAGCCTGTCAGGGGAACCCCCCTTCCTCACTTATTTAGGGACCCTCGTTCCCTAAATAGCTCGGTCCGCCGGCCCGACCGGCCCGCTACCTCCTGGCATCGTGTGTGCGATCAGGCCCGGGACCTATGCTGATCACTCCGATCACATGCGACTGTATAGTAGCTGTCGATGTACTTATATACCCACGGCCTAGCGTGGGAATCCCCAGAGTTTCTTCTCTTTGGATTCCCCTCGCTAGGTGTGTTCTGTCCATACTCCCTGTACTCTGTACACCTTATTGACCTCTTTGGATTCCCCTCGCTAGGACTCTTGAGTACTCTCGGGCCTCGAGGTTGCCCTTACAGCAGAAGAAACTCTCCCTAGGGATTACAGGAGATCCTGAAAATAATGGCAAACACCGATTTTTTTTTGGTCGGATTCCCAAAAAGGAAATCGTCTGCCTGCCCTTCTCTCTGCTCGTTCCTTGCCCTTCCTCGTCCATCGATGACTCCAGTACTCCAACACGACCACTCTAAGCTATTCAGAAAGCAAAAGGCTGCCGTAGCTACCCCCTTTCGGCCTGGGTCCTTCGATACCGGGACCCGGCCAGCGGCCAGCGGCCAGATCGATAATGTGCGCCGCCGCACCGTGCACGGAGCTGAGACGGTCCGCCTCTCAACGAGGCATGCCGAGCCTCTTGGTACCGGTGTAGGACTCGGGTCGATGTTCAGTCGGACGACGACAGCGCTGTAGGAAAGGATAGACCCGGTGGATCATGGGTTATAAGGTGCGTTGGTTGCGCTGCTGCCTCACGAGCTGCTTGTTCACTGTACCCTCAAACACTGCATACTTCCACGGTCACTGGGATCTCATAGCCAGACTCGAGCGACCTCACAAGGACCTCAGGCTAGCGTTGCGCAATACCGCCCCTCCTCCCTCCTGGCAGCCCTTCAATCTCCCAGCCCGTTCGCTCATCGAGACGATCCCTACGCCATCCCGAACGAGGAACTAGTCGCGACCGTCACGTTGGCGTCCCCAGCGGGCACGAGCTCGTCAGCGTCGCAAACCAGCTTGATTCATCCTCGCCAGCGCTGTGACAGCGCACATCTTCGCCACCTCGCCACGCGTTTTGCTCGCAGGCAGAACTTGCGCAACAACGGCGGTTGCACATTTGGCTCCTATGTGCCCAAGCGTGTGGAGATTTGGCGGGTCATGACATACAATATGAATGCAATACGGGTGTGTCTCTGTCTCTCATCTTCCCTCCCTCTCCGGCCCCCTCCGCGCTCGTATTTAGCCTTGACGCCTCAATACTATACCTTGCATGCACTTGTATGTTTGTAGCATCCCTCAGCGCTGGGGCGACAGCGCCGAAGCCTCGCCGCCGCCGCGGCTTCGGTGTTTGCGTTATTCTGTACACCGTGACTGTCCTCGTGTTGTACCTACAACTCTTTCTATGGGCAGAAACTCCACATGAGAGGCCTCCTGACCCGTTAATCCACCATAATACGTCGGGAAAGCGTGTCACAATGGAAGGAAACGCGAAAGGTAGTGGATTTCCTTTTTGGGAATCGCGCAAAAAAAAATCGGTGTTTGCCATTATTTTCAGGAAACCCTGTAACTGGTCAAGATTGCGAAGTTTGGTACTGCAGACTCGGACCACTCCGTTAGTGCTCCTGCCTCTCCCACATCGAATCTTGCCCCCTCCTCCCCTCTCCTCGATCCCGTCATCATGGCTGCCCCTACCACTGAGGAACGCATGGGCCAGATCGAGGCGACCCTCGAACGACTGATTACGGCATTCGAAAACACCAGCCTTACCCCCGCTACCACTGCCCCGTCCCCTGCTGCTTCAGCTCCGGACCAGGGTCCAGGAATATTCGCCAACATCGTTCCCGGCGCAAAATCGGTCCTCCGACCAAACCCCCCGTTCGTCTTCGACGGCGATCGCACCCAGGGCAGGGCCTTCCTCCACTCGGTTCGGACCTACGCCCGGCTCATCCCCGAAGCGTTTGTCGAAAACGGTGAACCCTCCGAGGAGAAGCTCGTCCGCTTCGCCCTGTCCTTCATGGCGAAGGACTCCGCGCAGCGCTGGCCCGAGCGCCACTCGTCCAAGCCCACCTTCCCCTTCCCCACCTGGGCCGCCTTCATCCTCGAGTTCCGACTCCGCTTCATCGAGGAGAACGAGCAAGACCACGCGCTGCAAAAGCTCGAGTCCCGGTCGTACTTCATGGGCTCCCGCGATGTCTTCAAGTACGCTGACGAGTTTGAAGAGCTCGTTGACCTCGCCGGCTTCGAGGACCCGCTCATGAAGGTCACCAAGTTCCGCACCGGACTCGACCCGGCGATTAACCTCGCCATCACTGGGTCGAGCGACCCTCCTGACTTGCGTGACTACGCTGCATGGCGTCTCCGCTCGTACCGCCAGTACGAGTCACTGCTTCGTGCAAAGGCTGCCTCCAACATTGTTTCTGGTCGCGCCCGAGTGGTCCCCCAGCTATCTAAGGGCTTGCACCCCTTAAATAGTTCGTTCAACACTCCTGGGCCAACTCACAGGGCTGCTGCACCTGCTCTTCCGCCTGCGGTCCCTATGGACATCGACCGTGCGTGTGCTCAGGCCCCCGCTCGCTGTGGATGCTTCCGTTGCGGCGACCCTAACCACTTCGCCCGTGACTGCACCACTCCGGTCGACATCCGGACTGTTGATGTGCTTGACAAAGTCATCCAGCAGCTTGGCGCAGACATGCTTGACGAGCTCGTCGTGCGCCTGGCCTCAGCTGAGGTGGTTGCTGAGCACACAGCCGCCGCCGAGCAAGAGGATTTTCCCCTCCGCGCAGAGTGAGCGGTGCGCCCTCTGTCGCGTCCACTAATCGTTTCGCTGTCTTATGTACTGAGCTTGACAATAAATCTCGTACATCCCCCAAAACGCTAGACGCACACCTATTTAAGGGACCCACGCCCTTGAATAGTTCCCCCAGTCCAAATGTGACTGCTCCCCCCTCCCTATCTAAAGGCTCGCAACCCTTAGATAGTTCGGTCAAGCCTGCCCTCCCATGGGACCGTCTCCGTCGGAAGGCCACATGGGAACGCAAACTTCCCAAGCGGTACACCATT